CGTGCTTGGTGTTCAAGAGCCAAGGTCGGCAGGAAGCCTTCTGCTGTGTTTGCAAGGTCTGTGTACTTCCTCTTCCCTCCTGTGTTGCTCTAATGCAGTAAGAACGAGGAGAAATACACTATTTTTCTAGTATAATTGCTAAAGCTGACTTGTAAAGTTCACTGTACAAACTACTGCATGTTTCAGGCTTCTATACTAGACTTAGGTTTACTTCTCTTTTGCTGAAAATAGTACACAAAGTGATTTCTCAGGCTTCTCGGAAGCAGAGTGTATGCATATACACAAACAATTTACTAACTATGGAGCAGACCTGGCACTGTCCCTCCTATTGTCCTGCAAGCTTCCTGCAAGACTGTTACTTACCGGCAAAAGGTTAGATGCAATGTTATCCCATTAGTGGGACTGGGAGACCTTCAGCCTGTATGTGTGTTAGCCAAGGTGAAATTCATTTGGAGAGTGGCTTGAAAAGATAGGTGGAACACAGGAAGTCACATCAACAGCTGCTGCAGAGCTATTGTATACTTAGTTTCAGAGCTACTATACTATACGGAGAAGCTCATCTTACCTCACTTTTGGGGTGGTTATTCTCCGTTCACCTGCACTAACATAACACAATGCAAGTTTCAGACAAGTCAGAAGTAATGCTATGATGCAAGGCTCCTTTCTTTTGGCTTGCGGTACTGTCCAGAGGCTACCTTCTCTTCCGCAGAGGAGCAGCGATTCAGAATAGAGGCAACACTGCATACACTGAACTCATTTTTCCTGCTGGGAAATCTTAATATGTATATATCAGAATGATCTAGACCAAACTCAGATATTCTTGAGAGTGATACAGCTCAGACCTGCTATTTTTGAAAGTATGCTGCACAGTTCATCTGATCTCCTAGGCTTTCTAGGAGGGTATGGTATTTATTAACTAGCTTTAACAGGTGAATAGATGAATTACTTGATTAATTCATTATTGATTAATTTTGGAATGTTATGTACACATGGTGATTGGCTAAGGGCATTTTCTAAATCCTTTCACTGAGTACTTTTTGTCTGTACAGGACAGTCAGTAGCTCTGACCACATGAAGCTAAGAAAGAAACGTATCACTCAATAGCAGCAGCAAAGAATACTATGCTGAATTCATCTGCTGGGCAGGAGGAAACAGTTCAAAGTTCCAGGGCTGTGTATGTGCCATTAGCCCTTTAATGGGTAAAATTTCAGATTCAAAAAAGCATATGACCTTCCTGCTCTCAGCTACTATTTGACTTAAAAAAAAAAAAAAAAACACCCACAAACCAACCAACCCACCCACCCCAAAACAAAATCAAAATCCTGTTGCTATAGACAATAACCAAATCCTTTTTAGTTGGAGCTGCAGGGACTCAGTTCTGAAGCCCATGATTCTGGGTTGCAGCTCTGCTGGTTAAAGAAGTCCATGCAGGCACGACATCTGCTTTGGCTGGTCAATTATCAATAACCCTGCTGATGCCTAGTGAAGATCTGGCTGCCCAATAAGCTGTGTTAATAAATATTTGCCATACAGCCTGGTCATGGAGACTTCAGCATAGCTGTATGATATTTCAGCTAGCTCCTCTAGTTGGTGGTAGAAGTACTTACCAGTAGAAGTATCTGGCTGGTCATATGAATTATTCACGAATATGAAAAAATAGAAGACTAAGACAGGCAGAAGGCTTCTGCTGGTACAGAGAACACCCAAAATTCAGAATAAGATACCTCAGGGTCCTTACCTATTCCATCTTGTTCTTCTGGTTTCTTCCGAGTGACCCAGCCCACCAAGTTAGTTTTGCTGAACACCGATTTCTCCTCCTCAGGACGACGTTGTAAGCGCCAAATCCTCACAGTGTTGTCATCAGAGCACGTAGCAATCTACAGTATAAATTAGTTTGTTAGGAGTGACCAGGCCACATCCAGTGGTTCACAGGCCAACTGAACTAGAATAGCTACACCTGAGACACTATGCCAATATGAACGCAGGGTGAAACCCTGGTTGAGGGTGTACAGGATTTGTCCAGAACACAGACAAAATACAACCCTATTTCATTAGTGTACCAGAGAGACATCCTAGTTTTAAAGGAGCAAGGCTGCCTCACAGGCAAAAAGCCTTTACCTTTTCCCACGAGAAAAGCCTCAGCCACTAGTAACCATTTGCGTTAACATAGCTCTGCTCAAGAAGGGGCAATGCATATTTTGAAATTTCAGCTACTCAGACAATAGAAGCTATCCAGTCATGCCCTGCTGTATATGTTCAAAGAAGCAGGAAACAACGTGGGACATTTCTGCATCTGCATCTAGGGCTGCCGCTGTCATTCAGGACCTTTTCTGCTTGAGGACAAACATTTGCAACATACTGAGAAGGTGACATTGGAAGGCTGTTGCGCTAGCCTTAAGCACAAGCAGGATCTCTGCAGACCCTGATGTTAGCAGTATCTGGCAGAGAAATCAACACTGCTAGAAACATTAGTCTAGATTCCAGCCTTGGTTTCATGCATTCCAAAATGATCTGTGGCATATTTCAAAGAAGCAACAGAACCTGTCTATCCCACACTTTTATGGCTCTCTTTGGACCAATTATCTAATGACTCACATAGCAGCAAGAAAAGGGAAATGCTGTGGTCAAAGTTCAGAGTAACCTGGACAGGAAAATGCCTCTACTCTGACCCTGTGACACCAGTATGACACCTACAGAAAGCAACTTTGCCTCTCAAATCACTCCAAGCAGCTCCCCCTCTTTTCTTAATGTTATCATTTTCACTTGTCTTCATGCTTCTGTACAATAGTTAACTATTTCTCACCTGTGCTGACAAAGATTTTAAAGGTTATGTTGGTCTGCATTTCCAAGCCATCGTGATCAGGATGCTGGGCTACACATACCACAGATTTAATCTAAAATGATAGTTCACATATCCTTGCACAACCTATACGACTAGAACAATTCTTCATATGGTTGTCTGCAAGACTCCCATTCTCCCGCACTGCAAGGCTGTTCCAAAGCCCTGGTGCAACAATGAAAGTTAGGGAAAGTGGCTGACTTGCTTAATGCTGTTGGGTGAAAGAAACTCTAGCTATTGTTAGGACACTCTAGGATTTTTCAGGGTTACTTCTCATTTTTAGTTAGGCCGACTACGTTACTCAGCTTCCTACCACAATTCTCTTCCCTTTAGTGGATAATTACCAACTCAATTCCACTGTAGGTTTGTGGGTGTACACACAAACATTTGCCATAAGAACAGCTCAACTTTAGGCAAAAAAAAAAAAATCACAATTAAAGAACCCACATGTGTTCTTGAAAGGACATTCAAAACTTCTTGCCACTCCATACAAATCCGACACGTGTATCAATGGTCAGCTACGTATGGACGCCATAAATATGGAACCATAAAACAAGCTGTTGGCTTATGAAAGCCCTAAAGAAATAGCTACATAGTTTTTTCTCCTAGAGTTAGCGTAACAAGCTCTCATCAGGAGAAGCCTTTGTTCATATACAATTTGCTAGATCTTAGCAAGTCATCCAAATTATTTGAAAATAATAAAAAAGTTCAGATACATTGTATTCATGTGATGTGCCTGGTTTACTGCCTCCAAAACCGAACATTTCTGGAAGTTGTTAACTAAGAACGTATTTCCAAATTAAAAAATACTGCTTAAATTTTGAAAAGCAGATGTTCTCACATCACATCTATTGTTTCCCAGGAAAGACAATTCTCTAGAAAACAAACCTTAGTGAAGTCTGAAGGACACCAAGCAACGGAGGTAACTTCTTGACAGTGACCAAGCAGTATCCGTGGAAGAAGGCTGGGCTCAGAAACCTTAAAAATTTCATAGAAAAATAAGTATAAAATCAGAAGACCTACAGCCTAATACACATTAGTAAGAAAGAACTCCACAGCCCACCTGTGAAGCATATGAATACTTCCTATCTTTTCTACATGAGACACACAAACCAAATACTTTCAGCCTGTCATCATACTCCACTACAGCTGAGAGGAGAACCCAGCTGCAAATCGCTGTTCCTTACTCCCAGAACTTCTTTTCAGTACTACATATCTTGGGAGGTGTCACACTCTCCCAAAAATCACCACAGCATCTCTACTCTTTGCAGCTGTGCAAAGACAACGTTCTCGGCAGGATTTAACATCTTAAAGCAAGGGAGGAATTAATTTCACAGAAATGACATTAATAAGGGTAGCTACTCCATGACAGCTGTGCAGTAGCTTATATAGAATAAGTCCACGGTTTCATTTCAGTACCTCAGGGACTGTCAGAGTCGTCTGAATGTCCTTCTTCCCCCACAAAGTGTCCTCACTGCAAGGACTGTGGGCAATCTTTCCTGACAGGCAATGACTGACTGAGCGCTAAGAATTAGTTCACGTTTCATTTCTAGAGGTAAAGCAGCTGGTCAGCACTGAGATGTACTGACTTGCCTGGAAACACTTGTTTAGCTCCTGCTACACACAGGACTTCTGCCTCAAGAGTTGTCAACTCAACACACTACGCAAGCACATGACTACACTAAGTAACCTTGTCTGTTCTACGTAAGGCTTGCCTATTCTAAATTCAAAGTAGGAGTTTCCCAAATATATTCTGCTGCTGTTTTACAAGTGTCCCAATCTTAGGTCAATGGTTTATTAATGAAAAACAAGCAAACAAAAAAAAACCCACCACCAATAAAATCCAATAGATGAAATCTTCCCTGGCTTTAGGATTGGTATTTGTGTAGCTGCCAAGTGGCAGTACCTCTTCCAGCCATTCCACTAGATCAAAGAGCCTTTTAAAAGATCATAAAAACCTCCCTAAAGCACACATGTTCATTAAACTGATCCCCATTTCTCTTACACCCTTCATAAAGAGCTTTCTCCTGCTCTACAGTATTATTATTAATCTTCAATTGCAGCTCACATAAGTGAGAGATAAAACTGAAGCTCGTTTAGGTGGCCTGAGGAAGAAAACACACATACATACACAAATGCACACAAGCAGATTACATCCAAGTTTTGCATGCTTTCAGCAGGCAATGCTTTCTGGAGCTATGAGTCACCACTACTGATGTGACATTATGAGGAGGATTTGCATAAATGACTAAGTGAATGAACAGATTCTTCAATGTATGGGAAAAGGAGATATTGCATATGGTTTTCAAAGGAAGATGCAAGACATCAGGGAAGGCTTTGGGTTTCTGCACAAGTTTTCCTTGTGGATTCCCTCCTATAACAGCCTGCAAAGCTGAAATTGAATACCCAGCTTCAGAATCTTAAAGTTGTTCAAAGGTAAACAGGTTTATCATAACAGGCCACTTTTTCCTGGCATAGCGGAGGAAACCACTTGACTAAATATCTACTAAATGCCTTGTTCAGAGCATTCCCTTCCCTGCCAAAAACATGCAATACCATGGAAACTAAATCCCTAAATAGGGAATAAACTGCAGGAGATCTTGGTGCAGAGAACACCTTCATTTACATTTAATAGGAGTCTTGCTATACACGTATAACATAGACACAATAGCAGTCTAGTAGCCATTGCTTGTTGATAGGAAAGCAGAGAAAGAGAATTACACTTGCTGGGCCAGACTCTGCCATCATGCTGGTTTTACAGTACACTAGTGTCAAATATACCAATTACAGCTAATTTATACTATTGTGCACAAAAGGAGGGTGCAGTAATTGGAATTTGAAGGAGAAAGAGGCCAGACTACACTGTCAATAAAAATGAGTCTTTCTCCTTGGGTGCTAGAAAAAAAAAAAACAAACAGTATTACAAGACTTCTGAGTTTGCATTTCATTATGTCACTGGAACGCTGGAGTCCAGAAACTCTCAGTTTTAGCTTTGCTTCTTAAGAAAGCAAGGTTTTCTACAATGAGGGGACCCATCTATCTACTTCAGCCTTTGGGTGAAATTGGCCAGCAGGTCCACACCTGAAAGAGGGCAGCGATCTTGAAACAGCTCCATGCCTCAGAGAGAGGCCGTGAAGACAGTGTTCCCATGGAGTACGGTGGGCAGAATTACAGCAGTATCCATTCAGTTTGGCCAAAGACAGTTTGCCAGCCTGCACATGTCAGGATTAACCTCAGTTTATGCTGCTTTTTGCTGATTTGACAGGGTACTGACGGGAAGTTAGCGTTATTAATAAATGAGAAACTATAGAAAAAACACCTAGGAAATGAGGCTTTATCCTACTCATTGAAACAGCTGTTGTAGCCGTCTTCAAGATTCAGGATGAAATGGTGCATATAGTTTTATACACCAGATGATAAAGAAGCATGAAAACTCAACACTGGGACAGACCAAAGGGTTACCTAATCCAGTCAGCTTGAAGTGGCCCATACCAGAGGATTCAAAGGGCAATAGAACTATGGAAGCACATGTCTATAAAGCACGTTTTCTATTTCCAGGGAGTCAGCGGATGCCAGCTACGTACCATTCTTGTAGATAGAAACTTCTCTGCCCACAGTTTTTTTTTTTTTTAAATAAACTTAAGAGTTGTTCAAGAGTCAGTTCATTAATCAGACTAGTAATTAAATAAAAAAAAAAAACCACCACACACACCACAAAGTGAGTGTTCATTGCCTAAAAGTGATGTTGCATGTGGACCAGACTGAAACAGCATTCCTGTCCATTCAGCAATAACTTCTAGCCACAGTATTCCTTGGGAAATACTGACCCAAACACAATTTAGCATTGCTGCCAAATTTCTTCAGAGAAATAATCTGGGTGGACAACATTTTTTGCTCTGCCTTTCATTCCTCTCTAAAGATGGAGAACTAGAAGTTTTTATTAAGCTAGTTCCAACATTACCTGTTAATGCTCATGAAATATCTAACTACATACGTTCACAGCATAAAAAGTGCTCATCCCTGGAAGAGATGCACACATTTCAGTTTCACTAAAATCTGCCTGCATTTAAAACAAATTAAGAAGTCTCTGGATAAGACAGATCAGAAATGAGACAGAGTTTCGCTGAAAGTCCCACTTTCTAACATGACTATGGGATGAAAATAAAGATGAACATCTTTATGATCTGATCAGATGATCATCTAAATTATTTAATAAATATGCAATACCATGTCATCCACATGTGAAAGCAATAAAGCCTTCAGTACGCAAACGCATTTTAAATGTATTCGCTTAAACTTTGAGATTTTATGACATCCTTGAATGCTCTTGGCCCAGTCCCAGTCTGCATTCCAGCAAAATAGCAAAATGTGTGATAAACAGGTGTAAAGAACCCAACTTTTTTCACAGGTATTTTTGCTGAACAAGCTCAGAACACTAGGAAGGCTAAAATTACACCCTCTGTTTTAACATAGGACTAGCCACGCTACTACACTCCTGCTACTTCTGAGCAAGCAATCTATCTGCTTACAAGTGAGGTGAGAATCAAAAAAAGACTACATGTTCAAACCACAACCACAGCAGGGTGGCCCTCTGCTCTGAGGTTTCTATTTTACTTTCAAACTCATCATGAAAGGGGTAAACAAGTCAGCATTCCCTACAAATTATATAAGAAAAACTGAAACAGTCATCCACATTTCTACCTATTTTCCTTCAGATATAAAGTCCACCCTGTTCCCATACGTCTGCAAACTATGGGGAACAGAACTCAAAGCATGCTTCATTCTGAGGTCCCTGCTATTAACTTTGTGACATTTGCATTTCCTACACGTCAGTGCAAGACACCAAGTGACTAAGCCTCTCAACTGTCAGACAGTGCTTTGGAATTTTGCTGAAGGCTCTGACTGAGCACTTGCTGTAATACAAAGGCTGTAACTACTGTAAATTAAGCACGAGAAAAAGTTATGTCTGAAACAAGTGTTGGAAAAAAGAGGAGAAAAAAAAACAGTGCCCTTTAAGACAATTAATCTGTTAGGTTTTTGATAACGCGCTCCACTGCTAAACATGAACCAAAAACTGTCTACTTGCCATAGCTGGCTGAATCAACAGGATTGAAAGAGGATTTTAATGCCCATTAAAACCAGATTAAGATCAGGAACTTGCAATAAGCAGCAGTGATGAGAGACATATTGATGGCAGGAGGTTAGCTCTGTTTTACATTAAATAGTTACATTGAGCTTTGACAGCAACACACTCTGGGCACAACAGGCCAGGAGCTAACCCCATGCTGTATTAAGCAGGAGTGGGAGGCAGGGAGTGTCCTATGCGAGCATGAAAAACAAATGAAACAAAACAACAGAGCAGTTCTGGGCAGCCAGCCTGGGGCTGCAAACTTGGGTTTCTCCCAAGCATCTCACCTTCCAGATATACGCGTTGCAGTCACTCGAGCCACTAACCAGGAACTGGTCATCTGGGCTAATACTGGATTTGATGTAAAAGGTAGAATTCTGGTGTCCACTGAAAACTGCCACTATGAGACAAAAAGTGAAGATAAAAACACCTCTCAATGCACAGCTGTGGAGTTGATTACATAAGCAGGGCTGATCTTACAGGCTTTTCCTGCCTAGCCACATGTCCTCTAGAGAAAGTGGTTATACCGCTCCCTTGCTCTAGGGCTTGAAGCCCCAGCCACCAGGCAGCAGGAAGTATTACTCAATAGGAACCCTTGTAGCTTCTGATACAAAGCAGGTTTCCCTCAACAGTTCTCTCCGTAGCATTAGTAATTAGGGGCCGTTTTATTAAAGCTTTCGTTTCATTCATATCAGGATTAGGCCAAGACATCATCTGGGCTACCCCAACACATTAGTTAAGATTTCTTGTCTCTTCTTCCCACAGCCACAATCACCACTCCTGCTAAATTGACAGCGATAGCCACATAGAAGACATAGCTAGGACCTACTTTCACTGAAGCAAAAAAGGCATTTGCTACTGCTTTTCTTGCCGCCAGCACCTTTATTTCATTAAAAAAAATATATTATGTCAGCTACACTTGTCTATTACCTGTTTCTAAAGTCCCAGTAATGCTTCAGCTGATCTGCTAAAGCCTTGAAACCATCGCCTTGAATAGCTGCCGTTCTTCACATTGCAAGAACTGGAAGCGCCAACAGCCAACACAGGAGCTGAATGTGGATCTAGAGCACTTGGCTGCACTACATCCAGACTTCTTATCAGGACAGAAAGGGCAAGTTTCCCAATTTAGTGCCATGTGTGACTGACTTGGCCTCTACCAGCTCTGGCATAAGAAGCTTGGAAGCGTTGACACCACAAACACTGCAGGACCCAAGACAGTGCAGCACAAAAGCAGCAGTTTAGTAGATGGTTAGAGGGTTTTCAATTCCTTTTCCACAGTGTTTTTGGCAAGAAACGTGGACTCTCAGACCAGAGACCACGTGGTTGCCTTTGTAGTTTTTCAAAAAGTTGCCAGACTCCAGAAGACCCTTTGACTTTTACCTAAAACTCTTTCAATGCAGTCGTTACAAAGCAATGAGTATCCTCCTAAGAGAGGCCTACAGGCAAATCCTATTACAGGATGATTTCCTCACATTCTCCTTCAAACTAACGCTGTCTCAACATTAGATAAGAGTAGGTGCGATCGAGGAAAGAGGCCCAGCGTCCTCCCCAGCTGCTCACACCAACCCACAGGTTGGTGCTGCCCTCTGCAGGAGGAACAGCACACCGTTCCCGAAACCATTCTGAAAGTTCAAGGTTTTCAAGGATTCAAAATCCAGCAGGGTGAATCAGGATTTCTCTTCAGATTTTATCCACTACACACAAGGCAACACAAGGCACTTACTAAATCAAGAGGCAGATGGCAGAGCATCCTGCACTTTGGAGAGAACCCATTCTTCCAGGGGGACAGCCCAGTGAGAATACTTCTACAGCTCAGCAGTGACACCCAGGGTTAAAACCAACAATTGATCTATTAATATTTAATACTTGCACTACTTCTCAACTTTGGAAGCACTCCCACCAGATTGTCTTCCTGGAGAGGATACAGAAGGGTGCATTGTTCATTTAATTTCAATTCACTGAAAAACTAAGAAAAGGCAGTGGAAACTAAATCATACGTATGTCTGACCGGAACACATCGATTAAGATTTGCTGCTTTCTGAGAAGCATCCACTTGCCCATGACAAATAATTAAGTGCAAAGTTTGTGAGCCATCTTGTCAACATAAAGGTCACAGATGCAGAACTGAAAGAATCTAAAAAGTTGAAGATGCCACCATATGTTGAAGATCCTTTTTCCACAAAAAAATCTACTATTTTAGCTAAATTGAAAAGGGTGGTAGCTTAAAATGTCTAAACACAACATACCAGGTGACCACTTTACATGAATTCATACCCAATAGAGCTTGAAAATCAGAGACTGTCAGTAAGAAGAAGATTCATACTTGGTTTAGGCTGGATGCTAATCATTCCTAACAAGATAACTGGAGTTAATATGCAACCTATTGTTAGTCTCAATCTAGGTGAACAAGTGTCTGCCCTTATCTATGTTCTTACGCCATCACTTTTACGCAGGTGGCTTACTGCTAAACATGAACAGCTCTTTTAACAGATGCCTCTTCTCCCAGATAGTCTTAGACTTAGGGGATTGCAATAGATTTCTTATGCCTTCAAGCTGTCTCTGCAAGCCACAGCAAAGGGGAAAACTGTCTTGTTACTCTTCATAACGCGTTTGTTAGCACTGCCAATTGTCAACCTATAAGGTGGTGAGACAGGTCCTTGCCTTTGGCCTGCTTAACAGAACTGCTAAGCAGGGTTCCAACAAGCAGCAATTACAATGCTGGTTTGCACAGCGGGAGCACTCAAGGCTGAGACTAAGCTCTTTACACCTCTACCACCAAACCACCTGCAGTTCATACAATGTTGTTTTCATTACTGATCAAGACCAAATTTGAAGCAGAGGTCTGTATCCATGCAACACTACTCCAGGCTGCCTGCTGCTAGATTTTATGGATGCCTGGTTTTGTGGATAAGCTTAGTAACCTTGCTGTACGCGGCACTATTTTTGCAGCTGGTTCCACAGATATTCTTACCTGGAGTGGTCCTTAAACTTGTCATATTGAACATGTAGATACTGTCATCTGTGCAGTTAGCAAACAGATTAGCGCCAGTGGAATCCAAAACCAGACTAGAATATCCTAAAGAGAAAGTCAGAAGTTCATCTTAAGAAATAACTCCATTACAAACCATTTTGACAAACATTCACAGGAATGCTTAGAGGGGGAAATTTGGACAGGATTTCTATCACATAGGAGAGATTGTCATTGGGAGAGTTTGACAGAGCTGTTCCTGGAGAAGTAAAGTTTCTAAATTAACGTCTACAATTTCCCATGGCAATTCATGGTGAAGTTTAGAGAGAATTCTCACCTTGATAGCAAGCAAGTTGTTTATTCGATAGTTACAAACGCATAACAGGAACATCCAATTGTAGAAGCAGAGACTAAAATAAATAGAAACCCTCATGCTTCAGTACAATAAGCCATCCTCTAATTTGTTAGCGATTTAGGATTAAGAAGAATCTTTCCCTGATAGTGAGTTATTTCATAGCCAGCTCCTGGAGGATTTCCATCATCTTCCCGAGTGTGATACCAATCATTACCACATCGAGATAGTTGATTAGACAAGTCATCTGGAATTACTATAGTGGATCACAGCTTTATAAGAAGTTAAGATACAAAGAAGCATAGAGCAGCATGAACAAGAACTCTATTGTTTATGGTAACAAACAGCTTCAAGTGCTGCTCAACTCTCAAAGATTACAATGAAAAAACCCAGCCCCTTCTGTTCTCTTTGCAAGATCCACAATGCAAAGGAGCTCAGTTTGATTTCAACTCACACACCAGAACCATTAGTTAAATGCCACCTACAAAGCTCTATTATTCCCTCAGCTCCATTTCTGAAACTACGCTATTGAAGCCTATCAAAAGTTTGTTCTTTTTTTTAAATCATTGGTACAACGATGCAGAAATGGGGCACTTCCAGTCTTCAACTTGAAAATTCGGTATTGGCAATGAAAAAAAAATCTTGCTGAACCTGTCAGTCTGATATATAATTGGCTATAAAGATGAGAGAGAGGGTTGTCAGTACTTCTCGGATTCCAGTTACACTTTGGCAAATGCATGATCCAATAACTTACCAAGTTTGCGAGTACTGGTCCCAGGGTAGCAAAAAGACTTAAATGGCACTGGATCCTGACGATAAGTGGCATAGTTCCTGCGCAAGTCCCATACTTTGATCACACTGAAACACAGAAACACAAGTGTCTTCAGCTTCTAAATCTGCTCTGCAATGCTGATAGAGCATTCTAAAGAAGTACAGAAATACTGTTTGCTCGTTGCTGAGAGGTGTCCAGTGATAAGGAGCACAAGTGAGCAAAACTAGAGCAGAGACATGCTGAAAGCAAAACAATTGCTCTGCTAGGTAAGGATGAAGAGGCAGCATTGTCTTCTGTAACTAACACAAGACACAACATGGCCTGGCAAGTCAACTTTTCTCAAGTAAAAGAGGAAATAGCAAGGATGCCTTTATACTCCTGACAGTTGCTTCAATGTTTTTCTTGCTCTCCAGGAGCAAGCCTGTCACGAGTCACCGGCAGAGGAGTCATAATCACTTTGGCCTCAGAAAGGCTCTGACCGCATGGAGCGGGCTGAAGAATCAAGACCCCAGCAGATAATCTCCATGTTAATCAGTGATGCAGTTTGCTCGAGTTCCAAGATGCTGCAATAGATCTGGCACCTAAAAGAATGCACCCTTTGTGACTCAAGGCAACATTTTCCCAAGCATGCCTACACATATCCAGGCACCAACCACCCACTAATGTCCCAGAACAGATCACTGTCTAACAATAGTTTGTTTACTTACGGTCCAATAGCGCCATAAGAATAGACACATAAGAACTGTTCTTCTTCTGCCCCATAGCTAAGGCCCTTAAATGAACTTTTACCACAGAAGCACAATTCGTACCACTGCTGCACTCTGCAGTACGAAAGAAAAGCAACATTCAGCTAAGGTAACGCAAGCTGACAGCATGAGGTACAGTTGCAATGAGGTACCTCATTGTAACTATAGCTTTGTGGGTCACACTGTGTGATCTTAGAAAGATCTCCTAACTTCTTTGTGCCGTTGTTTCCCTATGTTTGTCCCTTCCTTCCTTGGAAAGGGAGGAGGGACCCATCTATTTCTAAGCTATAGAACTTTTTCTGCCTATTCTAGAAAATACCTTATCTAGAAGCAGTGTTATCACTAGTAAACTTCTTCAATTGTCAGGTAGAGCCGACTTTCCTGCAAAAAGGAGTCACAGAGGGCATCTCATGTACCTGTACACCAGAGTATCAGGGCCCAAGTATGGCTTTTAGGGGCTCCGGGATTTGAGCTGAACAGTCAGTGTCACCTGCAATGCTTAAAAGCAAGGTACTGCAAACCAAAAATACCCAGAAGACTAACGTGAGCCAGAGGACTGTGTCCCTCAGTTGCTACAAAGAACATGCATAACAGCACAGGAAGTCATGCATCCTCCCTCCTTACCCATCAACAGCTCCTGCAGAAATAAGAGTATGCTCATCCTGAAGCAGCACCACAGTTACACTCTGCTGGAAATCCTTAAAGGAAAAGAAAAAGCCGTTTGTTTTCTTTCAAGGTCAGCAAGACCTAGCTGCTTAGTTCAAGGTCAAGAAGTACTGAGGAAACCTCCTCTCAGCCAGACAATCCACATTCCTCTTGGTCATAGGCTAGCCTGAGTTTTGCTTTAGAACTAGCTTAATCCTCTTAGTTTCTCTCTACCGCCAGAATAAGTTTCACGTTCTCCAGCAAGCTGGTCTCTACAGGCAGAAGGGGCTGGAATACTAGATGCCATTGATGACACATCAGTCCTTCAAACCTCTCCAACCAGTGAAATTGCCACTGAACGGCAAGTGTTTGAGTAGAACGTTACGATTACACCTTCCAGGCGCTGACAATAGCCAGAGCTGCCCATTATTATCCAGAACTGCCTTCATCACAAGGCTTAATAGATTAAGTAAATCCAGATCTTATTCCAATAAGGCAAACATTTGTATGGTCAGATTGGAAGAAAAAAATTAGAACATCCCCTCCTCCCCAAAAAGGAATGCTGGCCATTCCTCCTCTCTGGAAAAAAAGGTATGTTTTCACATGGCATTCGCACAGCGATGGCTTTCACTTATGTAGGTTATTAGACAGTTAAACAGTGCCTAAAGTTAGCTAAAGCAGGTGACCATGAGACAAAAACATGCTTCTGCAAAGATAAATTGAAGCGTTTAGCATATTTAAGCTAGATATTCCTTGCAATTTCTTAGGAAGACTACTATGCATAACACTGTCCTCCAAACAGAGGCCAACGTTTGTTTTGTCTCCAAGATACCTACCACCAAGGGAGCAAGTCCTCTCAGGTTCTGCCTCCTCTTCTTTGTTTTTGAAGGAGTCTGCTTGTCAACCACATTGTGTGCGCCACTGATTTGATTCACCTGCCTATAAAATCCATCTGAAAGAAATCAAAGACATCTCAATTAATAGTTTCCATGCCAACATGATCTTGCCATCATTTTATTAAACAGACAGCAGTTTGGAAAACTTCCTAAAAAGTGGCTGAGATTGACCTTTAAATATCATAAACGCATTCTGAAAACAAAAATTGTTAGTTACATATGACACTGATGAGAAAAACACAATAGAAAACAGGAGCATACTCTATATAAAAAAAATTGCCGCAGTCAGTGTCGCTTGGACACCGAAGCTAAAACTGGTACAGCCAAACTGCCTTTGGAAATCACTACCCTGAAGTCTTCAGCACGCATCCTGATTAGGAGCATTCAGCAGATTTCATCCAGAGCAGAACATGCAGGCAGTTTTCCAGTGTTCTTCCACTCTATTTCCTCATTTTCTATTTACCCTTTTGTCCCGTACTCCTCACTTGATCAGACTCCGATTGCTTTACAAGCCTTGTCATAGAAGACAGTTACTTTATACTTTTTTGCCCTGTACCTTCCACTTCCGTTATGCACAGCTTCCCTTTTCCCCCCACTTGCTGGGTCAAGAGTTAGAGAACCCAAGAGAGATGAAACTGTGAGACGTTCTGGCAGCACACGTCAGGAAACTGCTGGAGACAGAGCAAGAAACTGAGAAGAGATTTAAGGGCATGACCTGGGAAGAAAAAGAGAGACCTTCTCCAGGAAGCAGAAGGAGGAGCAGAAGGAGCCCTCCACCTCACCCTGCTCTCAGCAGTTATTCCCCTAATACATTGAGTTGCTTCCAAGAACTACAAGCCCTTAGGCTCTTGTGTTTTGCTCTCCTTCCTGCTCTGCCTAAAGTCTTCTCAGCTTTGCTTCATCCCTGCAGATGCTTCTGCACTGATCACTATCGCCCAGCCAATCTATCTCAGTGACCTCCTATCCAAGGATATATTTTGTGCTCTCTGCATCTCCCTACTGATACACAGTGTATTGTAAGGACAGCATGTAGATCATGCTGCAAATCTGAAACTGTTACAAAGTGGCAAAAGCTCCAGTCCAACAAGTATATTTGAATATTACTTCCCACACAAGATAGTAAGCCCTTCTGTTCAGTTCAGTTACCTTTCTTGTTGCATCTGATATCCCAAACCATGATGTTTCCATCTCTCCCTCCAGTACAGAAGACAGCTGGGGGTGGGGGGCGGAGAGAGAGAGAACTATTAGCATCCAAAGGTGTTAATTTAATTAACTGAATTCAGTACAATCCCACATATGTGCCTCTGGCTCTTCTGCCCCAACACTTGGGATGCCAGTCCCAGATATACGCAAATTGGGCCTTGATCCTGCAACACTTAACTGCTTTCCTTACTCTGCCTAGTCTTTCCTTACTGCTCCAGAAAGGACTGCCTGTGAAAAGAGTTATTTAGACACTTCTCTACGTAAATAAGGGCTGAATGATTCCAACATCATGTCTTAAACTTGTCCAAGATTAGAAACGTGCAGATACTAGCATCAGATCACCTGCTAGCATCTGACACCTAAGGCCCTAATTTTACTGTAACTCTAACTTCCTCGAAGCCAAGATAAATTGTAATAATACAATATAATGTAAATATATGCAAAATATACATATGTATTTGCAATAATATATTATATTTTCCCAAGAAAACAGCAAAGCTTAAACAGTGAACGCACCTTCTATCCCTAAAAGAAGTTCCCAAAAGTTAGTTTCGCTTCGTTGACTAGGTCACTGCTCACAATCTGCCTGAGCTATTTGTGCATTACCATCGATTTCTAAAGCCCTTTTTTACCCTCATAAGTATTGATGTGTAAGGGGAAAAAAAAGGGGGAGAAACAGAGGAGCAGAAAATGTCAACGTTTACCTTTCTCAAACCTAGAAAAAGCAACTGACTTGAGGCTACACTGGTGACCTTTGCATATGCCAAGAAGCTCCCCAGCTCTCACATCCCACACCTTGGCTGTCTGGTCTCCTGAAGCAGTGACCTTAAAGAGAAAGAATAAACAGCTTTAGTCATTCTCTGCAGCAAGTTGCCAAAGCATTAAAAATAAAGTTAGATGGCAAAAGTCTTCTTACAATTCTATGTTCCCCTGGTACCCAGGCAATGTCAAAGACAGCATTTGAGTGAGCTTGCCATTCTGACAGGAAGAAGAAAACCCAGGATTAGTTCAGTGCATTGCAACACGAAGATGTTTTGCAGAACGCAAAAGAACATCAGACACTGAAATCAAAATTTGTTACTTGTCAACAGCTTGCCTTAGGCGTGAAAAACAAACACAGAACAATTCACTTAGTAGTGCTAGTCTAAGAACATGCTCACACCGCTGTAAACAACACTCATGAAAGGATAGGAAAGGATGCAAGTACTGCCCATATTTGTGTGTAAACAACTTAGAAAAAGTTTTCTCTGATTCCAGTATATCATCTACTTGCCACATCAAATGAAGATTGTATTCTCTATAATATTTACCCTTAAAGATAAATTTGCTGCTAGATTGAGCTTCAGTGTCATACAGTCTAACGAATCCTTCTTCATTTGCAACTGCCAGTACGTGCTCCAGATTCGGGGCTGAAAGAAATTTTAATTTATTTGAGTACTAAGTAGATAATTCATGACCATCCCCCCCACCCTTGGTCAAGGGCCGCAAACATTTTTAATAGGGTATAGAGCAAATAGATTGCTGTGCCAATAAAAAATATTTATACAGTAGTTCTCATTTTCAAAACAAAGAAATATTGCCCAGCAATGTTTCTAGATATCCCATTCAAGAGTTACTATATATGGGAGAACCAATGGCTCAAAGAGCAGATTGTGAGATAACAGCCTCTTTTGGCAGCTGTGACAGTTCCTGTTTTACATCATTACTACCTGCCCTCTACAACCTCCAGTGCTTTCTACGGGTCTGAGATGGAAAAGCAGGAAGTAGCCTTGGAGAAAGGCTCATGCCAGTACTAGACTACTTTTGCAAATGAAAGAGTTGCGACCTAAAGGACAAAGACCTAAGCTTCTATGCTTACTTCATTCATCACGTATTTATCATGGGGAAACACTACAGGGATATCTATCATGGGGAAACGCTACATAGACATCTAGTGGCATACATCCTGCTCCTGATTCGCCACTCACTGTCCTTCATCCTGCTCCAGCTCTTATGTATTTTGCACAAAGCCCGATTTTTCAAATCTTTAGCCTAGTAGTGTCATAGCTGTACATTAAGAGGACAAACCTTGACACGGACAAAGCTGAAACAGAAAGCCATTACAGTAAATGCTTTGTACTTAGTCCCTTAACTGAATGCTTTCTACTAGGACAGATAGGAACTCCGTGATCCAATTTATACCACACCTACATGCAGTTACACTGTTATCAGCTCACTTTAATGTAAAAACACTTTATCTCATGAATCCCTGAAAAAAATTACAAGGTCTTTTGGCCTAAAAGTTTGTCTGTTATAACTGACTATGTGATTTGCTTTGTCCTGGGTGTAAAACAAGAAACTGTGAAAACAAATCATGAGATTTTAAAATAAATAAGTAGACTACTTCCAGCACACGTATGCACAGTATCCACAGCCCGGACCTTCAGAAAATACCTTTACCTGCAGAAAAGGTGCAGCCAAAGGGCGGAACCGGCATTCCCACTTCTCCGTAAGACAGGTGGTCATCTTCCCGGCTGCACTGGTAGCCGTCCAAGAGGTGCTGCAGGGGATACGCCGACGACTGACCTGCAGGGAGACAAAGGGGCTGTAATGGCACCGGCCGCGCGCACCGCG